GAGAGAACATGCAAACTCTACCCAGAAAGGTCCCCGGACCGGGATTTGAACCGGTGACCTTCTTGCTGAGAGGCATCAGCTCTACCAACTGAGCCACCGTGCCGCCCCTGCTTAAACTTATTGTTTTTTTTTTGTTTTTTTGTTTGTTTTTTTAATTGTTTGATGTTATATTTTTGACACGTCTTATTCCTCAGTTTTTGTGCTATTTCAGCAATTTATATATCAAAACCTTCAGCTCCTTATGACATTCCAGCTATGACTTTTACTTGGGCAATTTGCATCTTTTTAAATACTTAGCTTTTTTTTGTCATTTTTTCACATAGAAAAATTAATTGAGCTATATTCAACATCCTTAAATCTCTTCAAAAGTTTCATAAACCTTTACTGTACTTTTTACCTTTTGCTCTATATTATGCGTTTTAACTCCTTTGTACTCATTTCAGTTTCCTTTAGCTACTATTTAGCTAGTTTTAGCTTTTTCTCAACTTTTTTAGTTTGTTATTTATTTGTTTGGTTTAGTTGCTTTATTAATTCTGACCTTTTCTGGTCTTCTGTTAATTTTATTTATTTTTATGTTTTTGCTTCGTTCAGCTTTTTTCTACTCACTGAAACATTTTATGCTTTATTTAGCTGCTTTTTGTTAATTTCAGATTTTTACCTCTGCCTGAGGTTTGCGCTCTCAGAGTGCTTCTAGTTTYYCTGWGTTTTTAGCTGCTTTTTTCTCATTTCAGATTTTTTTTCTGTTTTTTAGCTAATTTTTAGCTAATTTCAGCTTTTTTCAGCTAAATTCCCCTTTTTGTGATAATTTTTAGCTTCTTACCACTTAATTTAGCAAACAAATGCTCTCCCTGTTTATGCTAATTTCAGCTTTTTCAGCTTCTTTTTTTTTTAGCTGTGTTTAGGATAGTTTCAACATTTTTAGCTATTCAGCAAACATCTTTTAGCATTAAGCATTCACACTACATTTTCCAGGAAATGCACAGTTTAAACTTGATTCAGCTTTTAAAAAATGATATATGATCAGTTGTACTTAGATTTTCACTTTGCACTGTAAACATTTTTAGAAATACTGTACATATTTCCATCTTGTATTAATTTAAAGTACGTATAAGCTGCTATATTTTGAAGTATCTTTTTATTTGTTAAAATGTTCCAGTGAAATCTGATAAACCCAAGTTTTTATTTATAATTTTTTTTAGAAATTCTTCTCTACAACAAATAAACAAAATTAACACAGAAATTAAATGCTAGAGCTAGGTTTTATGTGTTAAAACCCTTTTTTTACAGAAGTTGCACAGATCTTCAGATGATATGCTGAAATTCACAGAGGCCATCTTTGCAGGCAGATGGGCTTGGCAGGGAGTGGGAAGTGTTATGGGGTGAGAATTAATGCGCATATAAGGCTGTGTTTGCCAGTTAGGGTGCAGGCTCATCGCCTCCTGGGCTGTGTTTGAGCAAAGCTTTGTGAGGGGTTAGATTCTAAAGCCCTTACAATGCATTACACAGCTGATAAGGCAATCTGTGAGAAGGTTCCCGAAAGTCGCCGCTTCGTTCCTTCTCCGTGACTGTTGGCACTGCAGATTTGCCTTTTTGTCAAACATCTCCCAGCCTCATGTCAGAGCACTAACATTTATGCTTAGAGCTATTATATTAAACACTTTTTTTTCTTCCACATTTTGAATCCCTATTTAAACTGCAAATCTTTTGTCTGTTTTAATGTTCTTGGGTTTTTATTGTGGAGAACTGTCAGCACCGACTCTTTTTTTTCATCCTGGTATGCATTTTTACATCTACTCACCTCATGATTTTGTAATTTGTTCTAAAAAAATTTTAAATGAATATTTTTTATTGCTATATTCTTAAATGCACAGTAATAGAAGTTTTTATTGAACAATAAAATTGCAACTAATGCAAACCACTTTGCATCAAACATTAATGCCCCATTATATGAATGCATAATGAAAAAAAAATATACAGAACTTTTAGAGACAGTATTCACCCAAATGATTATCATAGAAAAGCAATAGCAAGAAAATGGCTGCATAAGAGTTTTCATCATCATTACCACCCACTCATTACAGTAACAAGGTTCTCTTTATTACTTCCTATTTACTTAAAGAAGCAGCTGTTTTATGGAACCCATTATAGCTATTTTCTCTAATCATTTACCAAAATAAATAAATAAAAAAACTTCCAGTATGTCAGACAATAAGAAGCAAAGTGTTCTCGTTTTCAGTTTGATCTCCTAAATCACACCCTAACCATAGCTGGTCATTTTTCTCCCAGACTGCATCACTGTGGCCCATTTCAGCCTTCTGATGTATTATACCAACTTACTGTAAAAGCACATTAAACTTTTTTTTCCTTCCTAGGTTTTTACAAAACTTACTTTAACGTCACATTTACAGCACATATACTGTAGAAGAGATGTCTGATCTAAATGAACATGGTAACGTTTTAACAATAAAATAAGCTATAGAAGTATTTTAAAAAAATGCTCTTTTTTTGTATTTTCCACATTAACAAAAAAGAAAAGTTTACACATTTTGTCTTTTTTTTTAAATGGCTATTTAAATTCAGTCTACCAACCCAGTTTTTTTGCAAAAATCTYATCCAACTACTTCCAAGAAAATGGTCTTTTTTTGTATTCTTTTAAAGTCATGAATAAATAAATAAATAGCAGCCAATGTCCAAAGACAAACCTAAAAAAAGACTTTCAGAAAGCTGGTAGACAAACTGATAAAGAGCACTGATGTAAATTACAATAAAGTCTGCCCTCATTTAAAGCAAACTCTAAAGTAATGACGTGAGTTTCAAGTGTTTTCACAGCAGTGTTGCATATTGGCAATCAGTTTACCTGCTAGTGAAAATAAGTCATCAGCTGCTGAAATACCCCTATTTTGTTCACCACAAATCGATTTAACTAAGTGGTTAGGCTTCTTTAAGTAAAACTAGCATGATGCACCACTTATCCACTTTGTAAAAATGTTGGATTTTTTAAATTTAATTGTATTAATCTGCAGTTTGGACATACAGTATTTATTCAAGTATAATATGTAAAATTAAATCCACAAAATCATCCATAAAGTTGGGGGGGTAGTTCTATACTCGGATAAA